TTTTTTTTTTTGTAAAATTCTATTTTTTAAAAAATTTACGATATAATTGTGAAATAAAACATCGATAGACAAACGAAGGTTCACTTTAAAAGCGTCACCTTCTTTGGAATTACCGTAAGTTATGAAAATAAATAAAAACTTAAAAATTATTTAAAAATGAGCAACTGTGTCTTTGAACTTTTTTGAAAGACAGCAATAAGATATGTGTTAGAAAACTTTATCGGGATAAACACGAAAAACTGTTCCGCAAATTGTTTCAAATTTCTTCATCAATTTTATATATTTAGGTAAAAATTTTTATCAGTTTCAAAAAGTGATAAAAAAATCTGAAAAGCCAGTTGAAAAAAAAAAAAGATCGATGTGTGCTGCAATTGCTGTAACTATAACTGTTAATAGCCAACGAGCTCTGTATTAGTCAATCTATTTGTACTGTAAAAAAAAAAAAAGAAAAAACAGGTAGTACTGCAAAAACTTTTTTTTCTCAAGTTTTATAAGTAGAAGAAAACAAATTTGTTGCTCAATAATAACGGACAACTGAGAAGAAACTGTAAAAAAAAAAAAGTACTGACGCTTGTATTAGTCAATAAAATTTTTAACGGTTTTAGAGCATAATAAACTCGTCAGGTTTTTAAATTAAAATGTATCGTGTCTTGACTGCTTCACTTTTTTCTTTCTTGTTTACGTCAGCAACTTTATTTATAACAGCGATTCTTACACATAGTTTGCTGGCATTTTAATGTGAATTGAATTTAGTAAATTGTTAATACAAGGAATTACTCTTTTGTCTACGTTTATATAGCTTTTTTTTTTTTGCTTTTGTTTACGATAAGAAAATAGATTTTAATGTTTTTCTGGCTGTTCTACTACAAAATTGTTGATAAAAACTTACTTACAGTACACTTATTTAAATGATGCCAACAATTCAGTTGGACAAAAATATTTTTAAGCTGTAAAAGTGATTAAAAAATAATAGCAGATGTTGCAAAAACGTATCTTTGATAAGTTATTATATTGAACTGATTGCAAATAAGAAAATTTCTATGCTTCACGTCAATATCGTCTTTTATTAAATAAATAAAACATTTTTTCACATTTAATCAGCTGTCGTCAAAGAAAGTTTTTTATAACTGCTTCTTATATTATATGCTAAACACTTTTTTTTATAAACCATAAACTAGGTTTACGATTATCTGTACATTGCACATTTTGCACAATGCACTTTTTTACTATCAATTAGTAAATGGCGAAACACTCTACTACATCTATTTCAATAAATTTTATTGAAACATGCATGGTTACATGAAGAACTAAGCTAAACTTTAGCCTTACGTATTTATGCTGTAGAATTGTAAAACTGTTGCTTTTTCTTTTTCACTTTAGTATTCTAAAAATCTTTTTTTTTTTTTTATCAAGCTTTAGTTTAAAATAAAAAAAATTTTTTTCTTTTGTCATGCTTCATTTAACTGTACTGCTGATAGAGATTGGCCAAAAAATTGTATCACTTTTTTTTTTTTCTTTCAAAAGTAAATTCTGTTACTACATCTCGATCTCCTAAAACTAGTTAACTGAAGCTTTTTTCTGCTGTTTGCTGGTCAACTGTTGTTACTCGGAAAACGATGAACCGTAAAACGATGTGAAAGTCTGCATTTGTTATGCAGTAATGTATGCAGTTTAGGAAACGTATAGTGGTTGCTTCATAATAACTTTTTAATTACGTTTATAAATAGACAATATGACAAAAACAAAAATGTATTTGTAAAGATAGAAGAGAGGTTTAATCCACAAAAGCAGAAATAAATGTTTACAAGACTTAAATGTACAGCAAAAGTAAGTACAATTCTACAATGATATATCGCCTTCTTTTTTTTTTTTTTTTTTTTTTATTAAATCCCTTATATGAGCAACGGTTTTACACACTTATATCTCTATTTGTTCAGCAGCATTTGTAAGATGACCGTATTAAACTCTATTTTAGCATTTAACAGTTTAGATCAATTTGGCGAATACAAATCAGCAGTCATCCATTTACGTTTACTTCTTCAAGCTTTGCTAACTAATAAATTTATTTATGTTTATAAGTCTACTGTTTTCTAAAACAATAAAAAAAATGCGATTACAACAACAACAACAAAAAATACATATGCTCTAATGTTATTTTTATTGTTTCTTCGAAAAGCTATTACTACTTTACTGAAAAGATCAGATAAAAGCAAAACATTTGCATTGTCATGCCATAACTTTTGATTCATTTGAAAGTATCCTATTGCTGCCATTAAAGTCACCATATTAAAAAAATTTTTAAAACACTTGCACAAGATACTGCAACTTTAACATGTTGTTCCTGGATCTATTGGTGGAGGTGGTGGAGGTGGTGGAGGTGGTGGAGGCGGTGGGTGTGGTGGAAGTGGTGGTGGTATTGGCGGCCCGGTATCAAAATATGACACACTCCATTCCCTATACACTCCAACGCCATCGCCGAAGAATCGTTTTACACGATAACTGTAAATATTATTAAAGTTATAAATTTTCTAATTTTTTTTTGAAAGTTAATTTTTACTTAAAAAATAATTTGATAAGGTAAACTTTAATGTTATGTTTGAACTGTAATTGATTAGACTTTTTAAA